ACCAATACTCAGCACCTAACGCTTCAACAAACAAAGGCGATCTCCAAGTCAGATCTTGCTCTAGGCTCTCATGTCAACAAGGACGATCTTCAAGGCCGCGAACGTGCGTGGACCACCACCGATGTCCGTCCGAGAGTGGGGCCTACTGGTTCCTCTCGCCCTTCTACAGCAGGGGCGAAGCCAACTCAGAACAAGGATGGGTTGACGATCGATATCATTCAGACCATGCCCACTCCTACTGATGGGCCTGTGACCCCACTACGGAATCCTTCTCCCATACCCCCATCTCCTACAAGCGATCGTCAGTCTTTGCAGAGTCGACGGAGGTGTGCCTCGAATCCATTGCGAATTGACGCGAAGGGAGCTCAAGAAAAAGCACTTTCTAACGATTCCTATGATGGCCACTCGAAAGAGAGCCCTAGCATTGCTTCTCACTCCGACAAGCCCAGTCAACAATCTCATTCGCGTCCAAGAAAACCCTCGACACCTACGGGCGCAAAGGGAGAGCCTTCTTCCGTCCTCCTGCACCGAATCACCACGACCCCTCCAAATGTCGCTCCAGTAATCAACCTAGTCGCTCCATCCGGGACTCCATTTACTCCTTTCCTTTCAGTATCCTCTAATGGAAACGAGGCACCAGAGAGCCCTAGTCCTACGCATTCAATGCCAGTTCCTAATCTACCTTCAGCGGTCGATCTTCACAATATGCATCTCTTGCGTGCGAAAGAAGAGGCCAAGAAACTATTAGAAGGGGAGGTGGATGCAAGGCCTACGGGCACCTGGAATGGCAGCCCTCCTGTCACGGCTGGGGAACGAAGACTTGGTATTGGTTCGGGACGCCGTAACGACTTTGGTTATGATAGCGTCCGAAGCTTCAACGAAGAAAAGGGCGGTGAAAGGTTATGGCAGCCCCCGACAACTGAGACTGGAAAATCAACCAAGTCAAAGCTGGGTGGTCTATTCTCTCGATTAAAACGATAGAACTGGGGTGTTACAGCGTTGGAACGGACCAACAATCCTTATAGCACCGCAGTGATTTGATGCCAAATCAACAATTTCACAAACACAAACACTTCTCATTCGACAAACTGCTTTCTCGCTTTTCTTTATGAAGTACAACATACAACGATCTGTAGATATAGATCTCGCTTTTTCTGCTTATCTCCATTCTGGTCTGTTCAGCCACCAACCACACTCTCTCAGTGCATATCTTTCCAATCTTTTCTTTGTTCAGGGTATTTTTGCTTATGTTTCGCTACATTTCCTCCATCACCATCCAATCTACTCGCT